AAGCTCGGTGTGCTGATTGCCATTTCGGCAATATTCACGTTTCATTACTTGTACGTTATTTTCGTAATTTTATTCCTTAAACGCTCAGTGGGCCTAAACTCAGTTGGCCTGTTCACCCTTCGAGATTTATCAGAGAGATCTCAATTCTGTAAAAACAATCAGTTACCTCTAAGTCATAATTTTTACTAATTGTTTAAAAAACGATTTGTCATAAAAAACGTTAAAATATTTTCCGATGTACGCGCCGTAAGTAAAGATCGTAGTAACAAAAAGATTGTAAACGCGAGGAGTCGATGCTTCGTTGGGTCCAGCGTGTTCGACGCGATTAAGTAGTCGAGCTCAAGCATTACGACGAACGGTGCGGCCCGTCATCCAGTTAGCCGAGTTACCCGCTGCCACGGGAGTCCGTGGATCTTCTCTCGCGTAGCCGGAGGCATGCAGAGATTCTACCCGCCTGCATCTGACACGAGGGGCCAGCTGTACTGCGTCAATGTCCAGTCGTCGAAGGCGTTGATCCTGGAGAGATACACGAGCATAGATATCCGGGAAAGCATGCTCGCCGCACGCCAGTACGACTGCTTCGCGGAGGGGCGCACGTACGAGAGGTGAGGACTCGTGCTCTCTCTTCAGCCTCATTTACCACGTTTGCTTATTTACCTCGTCGGCATTTCATCCATTTACTCCGCTTTACCGCGTAGTTTTTACGAGGTAAAACGTCTGCCGTCCTTGAGCTCGCAATCAATCGCGTTTCACCTTTACGATCGTACCTGACGTCACGATTCTCGCGACGGGGTTCCCCGTTGCTCACGTAGCCGTGGAGGGTTTCCGCGGTGCGGCATTGAAACGCGAACGAGAGCGAAAGTGGCATTCAGCGCCCGCCGGTGAAAACGAAGCCGGCGGACTTCGATCGTCCTTATAAAAAATTCTAGACGTCGACGAGTTTAGCAAGACTTATGAACTTGAATAAAATATTTAAGTAGTCCGAAAAGTACGCTATTAAATATTAAAGGACAAAATTTAAGCCAATATCTCGAGTTAAATAACACGTTTTGTTAATTTTAACTACCATGTGTATGTCGAAATTTCTTATTTTAACACAAAACCGTATTATTTTAACTCTATTGGTTTAATTAAATTACGACGCATTGAGTAGAAGCAGTAGCGACCTATAGGAACGGGTAAAAATGACTTATTTTGATTATATGTAATTTGACACTATGAATTTAACAATGTATTTAAAATTTGAAATTACATAAAAAAATAAATCCTTTGCCGAGGATTCACGTTGACTTAAGACTGTTGCTGCTTATTTCTCAATTTTGACCAATCGTTTTTCTTTTCTTTTTAGATAAACATATATAAAGCTTGATTCCGCATGCGCAATTAATGCTGGAGGAATTATAAAAAATGTGGCAAGTGCCTACACACAAAAAAAAAGGAGAGCGATCATCTTTATTTCTTTTTCTTCTCGTATATTTGAAAGTAGGAATTCCTAGGATTTCACGACAGTTCGTTCACAATTAAGGGTTGAATTTTACAAAGGGCACGCGGGAGGAATGAAGCCCGCGGTGTTGCTCGATAAAAAAAATGTACGAAAATTCCCGGAGATGCGAGCAAATCGATACGCCGAGCGGGACAAAGGGATTTCGATACGAGCGAAATTTGATCGAGCCGTGTCGATACACGACAGACAGCAGACCCGTTGTGTATTTTAGGTAAATATTGTCGGATCACGCATGCCTGCACACTCGCAGGGCGGCATGAATGCGCGAGCACGCTCGCACCGAAACGGCACGCGCGACACACACGCAGCAGGTACACGGCCATTTTACTTTCTCCGTCTTCCTGACCCTCGAGAGGAAAAGCGGATCTGACCTTGGTCGCCATGGCGATCTCAGAGATATTACCCTCCGCGGGAGTATCCAGGAATATCATTCGCCCCGGAGCATTCCGGAAAAGACGCAAAGTGCCTTTTGATATGCTCTTCGATATGTTATGAGACAACATAATAATAAAATAAGAATGCGACCTGTGCAAATTTTATTAATTTCGATTCTTAACTGCCACGAGGAGCGCACGCTGATAGTGTCAGATCGATAGCAGACAATCCGTCGGATACTTTGCACATGTATATACATACATTTCGAGATGAATGTCTAGTCAGCTTAAGATGAATGTCAGAGCGTCGCGGACTTTACGTGTTAGTAGTTAACGGCAGATTCTTTAAATCATTTCGGGATAAAAGTCTTAATACTAAAATATGGCTATAATAGTTTGTTTAGATGAGAAGTGTTTCAAGAGTTGACCGATGAAACTGTCCAAAAATCGCGGACTCGAGCGCGATAGCGAAACTCAAACTACAATATTAAAATCTTGTCGATATTAATCTCATCATCTCGATATTGATATGTCACAAGGATTTAATGTAATTCTTTTTTTTCCAAAATCACCAGGAGGGTTTACCAATCACAGAGATATTGTGAAATAAAAATTGTAAATACAAATATCAATATAATTTATAACATATTTATAAATATAAATTAATAAAAATCTCAACTCACACAATTTCACCGACAGAACCTATGATTTTGCAAAATCACTGAAATCTCTTAATAAGATTGCGTAATTTTTATTCATTCCATAATATTCCGGTTTTTTGTGGATTCTCTAGAGATTTTGGAAAAAAAAAAACGAATTACACGAAATCCCTGCGTCGTATATTTAGAAAAAATATCGTCGCGGAACGGAGCTTGAAATCTGATTTTTCTAAATAGATGCAGAGTCATGGAAAATTAACGCCGCTGCTACACCGTTTTGGTCTTATAATGGCTTTAAAGTGGTCGCCTCCTCGCAACGCTGCAAAAAGAGAATACTAACGAGAACGATTTTAATCTCAGTTTTAATATAGTTCCCAGCAAAGCGAGGGAACGGATATGATTTTGGGATTAATCCAGAGCATCGCGCGACAAACACGCGGACTAGTTGCTCGTTATATTTATTATGTGAAAAAGCGAGCAAACCTTTCCACGGCCCTCTGGTGAAATTAAATATTGTTTACGCGCAAAATGTTAACATCGGAATACGTAAAATAATCCCTCTGTGCGATTAATCCACCGCTTATTTCCGTTGGAAAATATTATGTTTACTAGTGTTTACAGTGGGTTACAGTGAGAGAAATATTTTTAGATATATTATTATCCGGTATATGCGACAAACCTCGTTAAAATTTCTTGTTATACGCGTGTAATGAATTCGGAGCTCGAGAGAGACGTTTGTCCCTTTCGGTGATGTAGAGAGATCGATATTTTGTAATAAGAAAAGTTTGTCTTTCAAGTTCTCGTTATGGGGTGTTAAAGTTAACGCGTTAAAAGTAAGACACCCTATATAATTCGAATATCATACAAAGTGACCTCGTCACGATCGCGAGACAAATTCTTGTCAACAACGCGAGACCTGAGACCTGATCAGTTTCGTTCGGTGCGAACGAAAGGCAGTGGTGGCTCAAACGTCAACAGGGTTCGTTGCAAAGGTTCGTTTCGCGAGAAGAACAGGTAAATCGAATCAATATCGACGAGGCGGACCCGATAAGAATTGCGATCGTTGGAGCGAAGTTTTCGCGTGTTTATCGGTTTATCAAATTTTGTACAGTGTCTAATAATAGATTTCCCTCGCAATTGCGAAGTCACGTTTTATAACGCCTGAATTATACATAGCACATCTTATACTTCTAGCGCGTCACTTCTCTTCAACAATAGGTCCTTCCGTCGGTTTGCAATCGATTTTCCATTACGATAAATATGAAAGAAAAAATTATCATTTATGTAATTTTAATCATCTTCAACGTCGTACGTTTTTCAAACTTGTTTACGGCTTCCAATTCGCAGGACAGAATTTGTCATCGTTATAGCATGCAAATTTTGCAAATACAGCAATGTATTAAACAGTGAGAGAAGTCGCGAGATAATATTTATACGTTATACGAAATGTTTTTATACGAAATATCGCACTTGACAAAGCAGAGACGTTTAGTGCAGGCTGATTTTGCCTACGGTTGAAACCGTCGCAATTTTGAAGAGTAGAATCTCGTTATTATATATAAATATCTTGCGAAGCTCGAGCTTCCTTTGTTACGAATAAATGTAAAGGTCATCACAATTATCTATTTTCTACCGGTATTACATAGTCAGTAAAGCAAAAGTAATCTCTTAAAAAATTTAAAGTAATCTTTTAAAGAATGAAATTTTATTTAAAGAACCACGAATTAAATTTTACTTTAAAATAATTTAAAAAATCCCAACGCAGCAATCCTCTAAGTCTGTTTTCCTTGGATCGCGTCGTTGTTGATTTCGCTCGTTCGGATACAAATTTATCTTCCTCTTGGGAGCTCAATTCCGTTAAACTTCCAAAGTTCAAATGGATTTTATAGATAAAACGTGAAGTATAATAAGATAAATCTAACATTTCTGTGAACCTTCCGAGAATCACGGTGCACTAACACGATTAGATAATAATAATAATGAGAAAAAAGTACGTTGATAAGTTTAAGAAAACAGTATGATGATCGAGACGTCGTATTTCACCAATTCGCCGTAACTCTTGTTTCAGGAAAACAAGATTTTTCAATCGTGCAACCCAGGAGAGCTCCCTGGAGCTTTACCAACAATTCTTGCCCACCACAATGAATCAATTAAAATCCCCCCGCAACAGAATAGACTGTAACCGTCATCCCATGCAAGTAAGTAGCCCCCAAATAATTGGTAATAATATTTAAATTATTCCATCAATACGTCAGTGTTAACGAGAAAGTTTCTTCTATCTTTCTGTAACATGTTTCTTTGACAAACAAAAAAATTTATTTAATCGAATTCTGTTCCCAATTAACTAGCAATGTAAAAGTTCGATAAAGTTCACAGCCTAATTTTAGAAATCATTCCAAGAACGATTTCTGTATATAATTTTCTGTTGTGAAGTAAATTCTTAAGCTAGTAAGCGCCGAATTCGTATATAAAGTAAATAGCAGAATTTGTTTCAGCTCACAAATAAGTCTCGGAAGCAAGATGATCAACACTTTACGCCAAAGAAGTATACCATCGCTAAGAAGGTCCGGTCGTTTCCGGACTCCAGTCCGGATCGCTTCCCGAAGCAGTTTTCTCCCGGAAATATGTCGCAGCAGCATTCCAACACGTTGACTCGTTCGATCCTCAGTCGTGCAGATTCCTTGAACGAATATCCGAGGCTGTACAGTCAAAATTCAATGCTGGCCAGTTCGCTAAGCTGTTCGAGCGAGAGTCGATCGAGCTCCTCGGATGACAATCTAGCGAACCATTCGCCAATTCACCAGCTGGACACCAGCTCACCGGACCACTTCGAGTATTTTCGAGTGTTTGAAAATGCTAGCGTGACTGACATGCCCGGCCCGAGCTTCTCGGGCGCCAGCTATCGAAGCGAGAGTTGCCAGGCTGGCTACGAGACGTTCGAAGATCTCAATATGAATCTTCTGAAGATCGATTTGCTGGACGACATCTCGCCCAGGCGACAATCACCCGTACGCGAGGAACGTGGCGCTAAGAGGGATGTGCTCAACGAATCATTTATAATGTTGATGACGAAGGAGCTGGAAAAAGACGAGAGCGATATAACTGTACCATCGCGGGAGCAGCGAACTCGTAGCCCGAGTAGCCAGAGGGACTCGTCCGATTTGCCGCTGATACCGTCGATTTCGGAGGAGTTGGAGGTAGCGAGTGAAATAAAGAAGGAAAATTATTCGGGGCAGCAGTCACCTGCGGGCGAACAGTGGACTCACGGCCTAAATGTGGAGGAGGACGCGTCCAGCGCGATCTCGGCCAAGGAGGAGGCGGCGAAGGAGACGGAGGAGGACCAATCGTTCGATTCGCTGAGGGCCATGATGTCGCCGTATCAATGCAACGATCATCCGTGCACTCAATTTCTTTATTGTCAAACCTGCTGCAAAACCATCTGCAAGGAATGCGCCACTCATTGCATTTATAAACACGTGACGGTGGATTTTATGGAGTTCCTCGAGAACGCTCAGCGCCAGGCTGAAGATGTGCTGATCGAGGCCTACCTCGGGATCGACGTTCTCGCGGATGATATGGAAAATATGGGGGTGAGTCAATTAATTGCCCGGTCGACGCGAAAGTGATCTATTGTCTTTTTTTCTGACGGGGTGAAGTTCTACATTCTATAGTAAGAAGAAGAAAAAAGAAAAAGAATACTTTCTTTTACATTAATTAACTTGATTTTGTGCACAATTAATGCTGAAAAATATAAGAAAATACAGCAGCAAGTATTTCATATATAGGAGTAAAAAAACCAATTATTTTTATTTCTTACTTGTTTTATATCTATAGAAACCCTATAATTCTTTATTGATCACGAGATATACATAACGAAAGAATTTTAATTAGATTCAGAGTTAAATTGATTAAAAGTTTAATTTAACCCTCCACTGAAATTTTATTGAAGAAAAATAAATTATACAACCGGTAAATGGAAAACATTGATTAAATTATGAAGTTAAAAAATAATTAGGTATATTACGGATATCTATAATACGTGATTCTAAATCACGTGGCGTTTTATAAAAGATTAAAAATTAAGTTTTAGTTAAGAGTTAGGGATTGAATAAGGAATAATAATTTAATTAAGATAAATGCACATATATACGTAAGCATAAAATAAAATTTGAAAACATACGTCCAAAAGAAAAGAGAGGGAGTTCATTATATGCTATTCTTGCAGTTGGACATTGCAGCGTTGGATCAGAGGACCAGAGAGGCGCTGTCCGATGTGAAGTTCTTTTCACGTAGAATGTGGTCCGCGGTGGAAGAGAGAGAAAAGAAATTGTTTAAACAAATTGTGGAAACGCGCCGATGGAAGTTCGAGGTTCTTCATGAGAAGTACATGAATCTAAAAGAGGACAAGATACGACTGTCGCAGGCCGTCAACGCTCTCAAAGGCGCCATTCATGACGCGCGATCGTCCCCAGTGTGCAGTCCTGACGATCTTCTGCAGAGAAAAGATATGGTGTTGGCCGAGGTACTTTATCATTCAAATTTATTTAACTTTTACTTTAGCACATTACGAATCTTTGAATATTTAAGGGTTCTTTTAAGGGTTCTCCCCTTAACAGCATAATGCAGTTATCTACCGAGGCAAAACTACTCATGTTTCTTTTTTTTTCATCACTGGATTAATGTATTTGAATCAACATTCTTTATTCTTCATTATATTAAAAAAAAATTTAAAAGGTTGATTCGTATTTGTTAATTTAATAGTGGAAAAAATTTTATTAATGATTATAAAATGATAAAGAGACTCTTTTAGACGTTCTGCATGCTTGGGAACTTTTCTTTCTCAACAAAATAATTAACGACGATGCGAAGTCAGGCGCGGTACGTGGTGCGCAAATAAAAAATATATAAATATGTTTCAAATATGTAAATATATTTCAAAAGTAAACAAACGTTTCGGCTCTTTTTTGGAGCCATCTTCAGTGTTTGTTGGAGACGATGTTAATACATTTCTGCTCGACCTGAGGTGGGAGACTCTTTCCTTAAAGAAAAGTCGTATTATGCGAGCTGGGAAGCACGAACAAAGTGGATATAGTTTCCGCTGCGAAAAAAACGTAAAATTTTTGAAGTACGGAAATTATTGTACACATATAAAAAAAAACGATGGAAGCTCACCTCAGGATCGACAGTTAGTCACAGAGTTATAAAAATTATATAGAGTCGCACGATTAGGAAATAATTATAGTGAGTATAAAATGTGTCAAGTGTGGCGGTTAGAGATGGAATGAGACGCGGATCAACTTGTCAACAGGTCAAAGATTAAAAATATAAATAACATTATCATATGTACAAGAGCTCGGATGACGAAGACATTATTTACTGAACCTAGGACGGGATCGGATGAGACTTTATTTATTTGTTTATTTATGTATTTATTTATTGGCTCAAAGGAAGAGCCGAAACGTTCGTTACTTTTAAAATACATATTTATTTTTCATTTGCGCACTACGTACCGCGCCTGACTCGCATCGCCGTTAATTATTTTGTTGACATTTTACGAGTCTAACTACATATTGAATTTTTTTTCTCAATTTCGTATTTGCAGATCTGGCAAATTCGTCAGAGCCGGAAGACAAAGGCCCGGTCTGCTCGAGACGAGAATTGGATCTCCTTCAGAAGTTCCGACAGCAACGTGCTGTCCGTGATCGCCAATGGGGGAAACGTCCTGGTGAACGGCCCGGGCACGATCGGGGACCGTCTACCGAATCGCGATTACAAATCGTCGCAATCGTACTTCCCGTACGGAATGAGCGACCAGATGATACAACCGATCCCACGTGGTCGTCCGATAACGGACTACGATCGCAATATCTGCCTCCCTAACCGGAAGCACGAGTTGCAGGTCAAGAGCACGGACGTCATAATCCTCGGCTACTTTGGCGAGAACAATCCTGACAATCTTTGCCGCCCGTGGGGATTGATTTGCGACAATGAGGGTAACATCATTATCAGCGATCGGTCCAACAATCGTATACAGATCTATCGCGAGGACGGCACACTGATTAGGAAATTCGGGAGCTATGGCAATGGCCCTTGTCAATTTAATCGTCCAGCTGGAATCGCTGTCGATGCTAGACGCCGCCTTATCGTGGTCGACAAGGATAATCATCGCGTTCAGGTTGGTGACACGTGGCGCGTTTATGAATGGTCTTCTCATATAATATACTTTTTTTTTTTAAAGCATATATCAAGATTACTACATGGATGTGTAAACTACAACAATGGAATCATCGTGTTTCAGATTCTGACAATGGAGGGCGAGTTTCTGAGGTCCTTCGGCGAGCACGGCGAAAAACAGGGCCAATTCTGTTACCCGTGGGACGTGGCGGTGAACTCGGCCTGCGAGATCGCCGTTACAGATACGAGGAACCACCGCGTTCAGTTGTTCAGCCCCGAGGGTATCCCCCTGCGCATGTTTGGCGGCCAACCGCATCTGCTGAGGTACCTGGACTCGCCGCGCGGTATCTGCTTCAACAACGAGGGCAAGCTGATTGTCACGGACTTCAACAATCATCACGTATTGATAATTGAGTATAACATGGTGGAGATGCGCATACTTAAATGCGAGAAGGAGACGAAAGGCAAGAGGCAGGACGGGGAGACCGGCGACGGGCAGAACGAGGAGAACACCCCCACGTTTCAGAGACCCCAGGGCGTTATAGCGGCCGACGACGGCAGTATTCTCGTCGCGGACTCCCGTCACAATTCAATCAAAGCGTTCAACTCGGTCGGCTCGTTGATCTACTCGTACAAGCCCGGCCAGGAGGAGATGGACCGTCCGTTGGGCATAGCTCTTCACTGGGACGGTAGAATGGTGTTCACGGATTACGGCCGTAATTACGTGCGCCTGGTAAAGCTGGAGCACCACATGGACCCGGTGCCAAGGAACGCTATCATGTTTGGTTGACGCCTCAGGATCGCCGATGCGTTGTCCTGATGATTTAATGGAAACTTTCGACGAGGTTTCCGCTTGCGTCAAACGTGAACAGTACGCCGGCTGCCGTGGGAAAAGTTATCGCAATTCTTACACTTGCAACGCGTGGCAAGATTTTTGAGCCACCAGTAAATTGCGCTAGGAGGTATGATTTTTTGCGAAGAGAAACGAGAGGGGAAAGTCTCACCTATTAATTGGTGAAAATAATCGACAATGTGCGAAAGATGAAAGTTAATGTTTTTGCGCGCGCGATGCCGCCTTGTACGTGTTTTCGATTTCACATACACACATACATTACACACATTACGATCGATTCTGAAATAGACGTTCATATATGAAAGCTTATTTCGCTTTCAGATTTTTTTCACTCCGTGTAATTAGTGAAAAAAAAAAGGACACATTGTTGCGAGATCACTTTTCAAACGCTCAATTTTACTCTTGAAAAAGAGTTGTAATTTACCATTTTAGTACATCTACAATGTTGGTCGAAATAACGTGCGACTTTTATCTTCGATTAATAATTTTTGTTCTCGTTGTTATTTATCTGTTATATTTAAATTGTACTATAAGAATTTTTACAATTTTATTGTGTAACGCATTGTACCTCCTGGTTGGATGGACACACGAAATGCTCATGTAGCTCAGACATTTTTAGATCTTTATTCTCCATCACGAATGAAGCAGTAAGATATTGCAGCGGAGAAAGAAAACTACGCTATATGTTTTGAGTGACCAAACACTCGATCGACAATGCATCGTTAAGGAAAAGAGTAACGAAGGGAATTGATCGAGTTATCGATAAATCCAGATATAATCAGCGATCATGTTTTATTAATGCATCTTATTTATTGTATGTATTATATGTATAGAAGATTCGATTATCAGTCGAATTTACGGTAGATGCATTTTTCTGTCTTATTAGTTTTACAAAATTAAATCATGAATTTAATTAACTCCAATTTAGTTGCGGATTGCAAGATTTGTTTCCAAAAGATCTCTTTCCAAATGCAATTATGCATGACGCTGATCACAATTGTTTTATTTAGGAAATCCAATTTCGCAAAGAGAAGGTAGAAATTGCGATAGGATTAATGCATGCATATTTTATATTTTAACTTTACGCTTTTATAAAATTTTTTTAAGTATGTAATAAAATGTATCACAATTGAATTATTTTATTTCTATTAATTTTTTCACAATATTTGAATTTCTTTGAATATGTACAGAAAATGCAGAATATTGATAAATTAGGAGATTTATACACATTATCATCAAAATCAAACATTTTATAATCAAAAACTTTTGTCATTTTTTTTAATACTCTTGTTTTTCTGTATATTTCTTTATATATTTAGATTTAATAATTTTTAGCGAAATGGAAGATTTTTAATTAATATTGAGTTCAATCGCATTTTTTTCTCAATATTTTAATTTTTAATACGTAATAGAATTATTTAGCAAGTCAGAAGATCTTTAGTCTAAACTTTAATATATTTTACACAGTAATCTTTATCAACATTTTATTTTAGTGGATTGATTGATTTAGTAAATTAAGTGAACGGAGAAAAAAATGTCGATCGAAAAACAGACAACGAGATATTTTGAATACGTCAGATTGGATGAAAAAGCGTTAAATCGGAAAGTATCCATCCAGAAGAATCAATTTCTTCAATTCCGTATTTAGCGTCACTGTCTTCTTAAAAAGAAAGTCAAAAGAGGCAACCTATATTATTAGTAACGTTAAGTATTAGCTAGTAAGTTCGTTGTTAAGGTAACTACCTAAATAATGTTAGACATTAATGTGACTAAATCGTTATGGTTGAAGAAGATCAGTACAAAATGTGTGCGTGCGCGAGAGAAACCGTTAGAAATTGGCTCGTTGAGAGAGGAAGGAAGCGGGACGTTGATTGTTTTTTCGATGGTTGGTTGTTTAAAAATCTGGTTGAAATGGAAATTAAATGTATATGCATCCTTAAGCGCCGTTGTGAGGGGCACGGTGCGCATTTAGCGAATTATACGATGTATGTAATCGTACGAATGGTCCACCGACTCTCTCGGATCCGTTGCAAATTTTCACGAAATGTTCCTTGGGCATCTTCCATATACGAGTATCTTGGAACAAACAATATATATATGTATATATTGTTATTATACTGGAGGTATAATAAGCTGATACCATGCAATATATATATATTGTTAGAGGGATCGTAAGATCTCAGAAATAATAATTCTTCTGTGTCTAAACTGCGGGATGACGTTGGTCGTTTCTCGAAAAGATGAGTATCTCGCGTTGAGCTCTCCTTTGAAGCTATTCTCGATTATTATTCAGAATAACGAAGTAGCATTTATACATAGAGAAGAAATATTTTTAACGAAGAAAGTAGAAAATTACCTGATGGAAGATGCGCAGCATAAGAGTATGAAAGCACTTTTCTATGAATGCCTTCATGTGTGGGAAATTGATATATCGCTCGAATATCTCGTAAAGTGGCGGCGGTGTTATACTGCCTCGTGAGAAAATTATCTCATAGCACTTACACAAGGTGCTTCTTGAGTATTATTTAATATTATGGTAGTTGATTTTTTAGATCATTTGCTTATATGTTTCATTTTTCTTTATAAAAAGTTTCAAAGACGCAAAGTGAGGAACAAACGAGACTTTCACTTGAGACTATATACGAAAGAAAGAAACTTATATAAAGAAACTTTTATAAAAAAAAGACTCATGTTCCTTTATAAAACTTTTTTTAAATAAAATTACCTCAAACATTCTAAAATATCAATTCCTAAAATATTAGATAATATTTCAGAAACACTTTGTATAAAGTGTTCAATGCAATGTGCTCACTTAATGTACAAGTTAAACACATAAAGCAGTCACATATTGCGTGGCCACTTTGCGACATATCAAGCGTGAATACGCGCGTCGGTATTTTTTTAGAAAAAATGAACAAAAGCGCGTGAGCTTTCACGAGAGGATCCGGAAGGGATAGTGCGACTTTCTTTGAACGATCTTTCATAAGTGTACGACTAGAGAGAAACTTTCTACGTATATTAGACGACGTTCTGTATGTGTTATGTCCGTTACACGAGATGTTCAATAGAGATCAAACTTCTTCCTAGATCGCGTTAATGATTCCCGGGGAGTCTACAGGCGACGCGCGACGGGAAACGATTCCTCGTTTTTTTTCGCGAAGGACGTTGTACAGTCCCTTCTATCGCGCGTCATTCCGAAAAAAATAGCGCATCTGCGAGAACTCCATTTATATTCTCGCGCAAGTTATTACTCCGCGTATCAAGGCAGATTTTAACATTAGAACTACCGAAGAGCAGTCAATACAACAAGGCAATTTTTTTAAAGTGATTATCAAATTTATAACGGTGCATTTTCTCAGATTTTTTCTGCTACAAATGATTAAATTAATCAATTCACATTTTCTCCTTACACTTACACCTAAATAATATATAGAAATTAATCGTCGGTAGCTCTAACGTTAAAGCAAAGGTGCACGCTATAATCACACGATCAATGCAACGATGAAAATCCGTTTGAAAAACGGGCGGAAATTCAATAAGCTTCTTTCTGTACGGACGTGTCCCCGCGGACGAATTGTTGAGAGCAAACAAAGACAGGACAAAAGAAGATTTGGAAAATCTCCAAAAGAAAGGTTTGGAAATGTCAAAAAATAAGAAAAAAGATTAAGAAAAAAATAAGAAAAAAAAAGAATAAAAAATAATACACATTTGTCCGAGAAGACACTAAAAGAATGTTCCCCGCATTCATTTTGCATATCATAAATTTGCTCATACAGCAGTTTGTTACTAGCCTTTAAGCAACTTTTTTGAAAGACAAATCAACTTTCTGGGAAACGTGGCGCATTTTTTATGTCGAGTCTTCATGTTAATCCGTCGATGACGCGTGCGCTTTTCTTTATATGGACGAATAGAGGATGCTTTCTTATCAATAAGCTTACCGATATGTATCTTGTGTATGTGTGGTATCCCCCTCTGTGTAGTATATAATTCGCGTTTTTGTAATGTTCTTATAATCCTTTAAATAATTTTAACACAAAATCTTACTTTAAAATTAGTTTAAAAATTTTACATTGCGTAAAAAAAAAAGAAATTTAGCCCTCGCAGCTTCGCCTTTGTCTGGCTTTTCTGTTGTGTCTTTTGTGTACGTGTGAAGCGTTGACAGTGTATGCTGAAGAGCAGAAAATGTATAAATTAAACAATACAATATGTCGAAGAGGTGAGCAAAGCATGAGCAGTGAAGCGAATGCAGGAATCGCAGCGTTCATCGACAAATTTCTTCATATGAAAGTTTATAAGAGTTCTTCTTTAATAGCAACGCAGTGCCAAACTATGTAATTCATGAAAAAGAATAAAAATCAAGTAGAAAAGAATGCACAAACTGTGGAATTAAATTCACAACGCGTCGTTTTTGCGGTCAATGCGAAAATGGTGCTCAAAGTATCAAGATCAGGTTATCAATATCGAAGTATGAATAAATGCATTGAACGAAATAACGTCGTAATATAATAATAAAAGGTTCTATAAACGCACTTTCACGATTATGTAACATTCGTGAATAAAAATGGAAAGAAAGATTTAAAAGTTTTCGTATTCTATTGCAATTGCCAGAAGATCGATTTAATTGAGTTTTTCCAAGTATTGTAAAAACTTCTCTCAAATGTATCGATATTAAATTTCATGTCGATGTTAAACTTAAAACGGATTCATTTAGAAACGCTACAATTTAATTCCTTTCTGGTGTTGCGCAAAATTTACTTGAACTGTAATTGGAGTCAAATTTATTCTATCTGATTAAAATGTTCTATCGATCGGCATTTAATTAACTTGCGAGTGCAACGTGGATTTCCACCTACACATTTACATGCATATTTATATGTGAATATCTATTAACATAGATATCTATTGACACGACCTTTTTCATTTTGAGCAAAAATTCAAACATTTATGAAGAGACTAAATTTTAATAATTAAACATATTGAAAGAACAGTGTATTAATAAGACTCTTTGAAAATTTAGAAAATTTTTTAAAATATGGAAAATTATTGAAACTTTAGCTAGAGCAACCTCTTTGCTGATCACACTTTCCTGATATTTGATCAATTTTCAAGTCTCTTTATTTTCGCGATTTGAATCCCAAATCTTCGGACTCGCAATTTTTAGATATCCTAAAAATTCTTGAAATTGTAGACAGTGCACATTAATATTATGTCAAGGTAGAAAAAAATATTTAACAGTACGCAATCGGAACAAATATCGTATAGAATAGATTATTGCGGCATCTTGAATGACGCAAGGGTCTCGTGCAGCAATTTCTCTGTCCTCATTGTCCTGCTATTGCACTATTTATTTCCGCACACATCCTGCCGATGGCTGCATCAGAACGAGACTGCAATTTGCATACATGCAGGTAGGTGCAGCATTGTCGGTCGCTAAACTATCTGTGCCAGGACAACGACGCATACAAGAAAAGGTTGCAGTTGCGTTACGCAACGGTTTACGAGTCGGCGTGTATTTAAATTAAGTCTCATTTATTTTGCACATATCTTTACACACGGTTCGTACTAATCTACACGAAAGGACGCCGCGGAACATTGACAATCTTAGTCTTCCCGAAGATGCCGTACACGCGAAAACTTGATTTATTACGTCTATAAGGTCTATAAGGCTTGCAATATGTCTGTAACATCAGAAATCAAACACTTGGAAATCTCACGTTAAATATCTTTTTTTTTTATAAATATATTAAAATTTTTCCATCCTCTTCGCGTGTACGGCAGATTTAATTACAGGTGATGTCAGCAACGAGGACAAGGATTCTATTGCGACGGATTCGCAATAGAATAAAAAAAATATGGAAGAAAAGAGAATGCTGTGATTCTTTCGGATTCACCGGCCACTCCTCGGCCGGTGACGCCAAAAGAATGGAACAGCCATTTCTTGGATCACAACACGAAAGAATCGCGGTGCTTTGGGCTCGGATCTGTTATAATAGCTCTAACGGCAGAGCGGAGTCGCGGAGAAATCTTAATCCGCACAAATGGATGCGATTATCATTAATCAAAGGCCCCTTCGAGCGTTATCACAAATAGAGAGGAGAGCGGGCGCGTCGAGCTGAGTAGTCAGCTCTCTCGCTCGCGGCAATCGAGTCCTTCCTTATTTAGAGCGCGATATACGCGGAATGTCGTTATTGTAAATTGGCAAGTCGATACTCTTCTCCGGGCTGTGAGAAGCGATTATTATCTCGTATACGCGAAATAAGATTCGCGTGATGGCGGCTGAACTACTGCGGTCCCCCGCCGTCCCCGAGTTTCGATTCAGTCCTTTCGTGCTGAAGCAGCGATCGCGGGATAATTTCGAATGGCTCTCCAAGCGACGGTTTGCGGGAAAAGCGGGATATCTTCTCTGGATAGTTACGCAGATAGCACCGTACGCGCGACCGCGACTAATCTACCGCGAAACAATCTTTCGGTCGACCGACCGATTCGATCATCGGTTCCGGTCACGAGTTGAAGAACCGTCTCATGGATCGCGATCTCGAATGGCTCCGCAAGCGACGTTGCGGGCACTCTTAGGAATCAATAATTCGCAATCGAATGTCACGATGAATGTCTTGATCACTAGTCTTGACCGAGATCATGGTATCGTCGTAGATTTCGTTTTCACGCAAGTCTCTCTTTCTCTTCGAGGTCTTTTCTCGTGTTCGGAGGTATCGGCGCTCGTCGAGACGCCGTTCTAGGTGCGATGAGAGGACCGAGACCTTCTCGAGTACTTCTTCCTCTCGGTGACGATACGTCAAACGGCCCCGTACTCCTCGCTCGACGGCGACTCGTCGCTGGCCGACGGCCTGGGTGGCCTGGGTGGTCGCGGCGGCCGATGATGGTGCAGCGTAGGCGCCGGTCTTCTCGGCGGCGGCGGTGGGTGCACTCCGTAAGACGTATCGTCCCCTTCCTCGCTACTGGGCGACGGCGAAGGCGCCCGGTCCTCCTGCTCCTGCAGCAGCTGTCGGAACTCCTGAATCGACTCGTTCAGGGACCACAGTTGTGACAACAGGGAGAGATCGAGCTGCCGCAGGCCAAACTGCAAATGCGAAAATAATTATTGTAATATTAATACGTTGACAAATGAAAATTAAAAGTTGAGACTGGAAGAGTGAGTTTTCGATAAAGACCTACAAAAGTAATCTTCGTTTTTTTTTATCTCTTGACAAAAAAAGATGCAATCATCACTTAAGGTCCATTGCGTTCTATGACATTGGAAACTGAGTTAACTAAAATTTTATAGCAATCTCGATTTCCGATTAGAAATAAATATATAAATTGCTTATAATGTTGTTTCTTACACAAATCTTATTCAAAAGAAGATTGACTTTCAGACATTTACTGAAGAGACTCTATGATTATCATTTTCTGTAACCCTGTGACTTTTCTTCTGTGAAATTTCACATATGGCTCGAGATAGAAGTTAAGACGCATTCACTTTTACCATACGGTCACCAAGGTAAATGTTACCTCGTGATTTACGGACTGAAACGGCGCATATTCAAGCAGCTCGGCGGCCGTCTGGCCGTGGGAATCGAGGAAGAGGGAATTGTATAGGAGGGACGTGCAAAAGAGGAGAATGGGAAGAGCGCGAGAGACGCGAGCGCACAGCCGAGGAGAAACGAGACTGGAAGAGGGACGATGACGAGGAGCAGAGGAGAGAACGAAGGTGAAAAGGAGCGCGAACGAGGGAAAGAGAGTACGAAGGAGCGGAGCCTGTGCCTGAGGGAATGTAGCGTGGGAGCGGCTGTGCCAGTTCGCTTCCCGTGTCTGTGGATTGACTATTAAATTATTAGCCTAACTTAGATACGCGAGTCGAGATGCTGACGCGAAACGGAGATCCAACAACAAGAGCGCTCGTCACGAGAGCTCTTTTTCCTCCTCGAAGGAGAGATCCTACTCGAGATCCCGTTACAGTTAATTTCGGGAAGATTGCCGCGATGCCAGGCCTGGATACGTAGTCGGCATGATACGGCGATAAATTTATACGAAACGAATATATATATTTATATTTATATGTGTGTGTGTATAGGCGATACATAAGATCGTTGGGTCAACAGGACGCTCGAGGAATCTCGTTGCGATGAGCGATGACAAGATTATTGAGCTGCTAACGAGATGTGTGCTAACGAAGAGATTTTTAGTAGCAATTTTATTCGAAATAAACAGTCTTTCAGAATTTCAATCGCTCAGTTAACGCAGAGGAATGTAACGTAGAGGAGTGTAACTAGCAGCAGGAGGCACGTGAAGTATGTTTGCGCAGCAAACCTGCGAGGTAATAGCTATTAAAAAGCGCGGAGGCCTCCGCACACGGCTGAGTGATATAAGCGCGTCCCGTCTTTCTCTACCGCGGCATGATACTCCGGTTTCCCTCGCCGGCTTATGATCCCACGCATAAAATACGCGCGCTCATCGCGCGCGGCAATTTACTCACACGCGATCGCGGCCTCGAGGTAACGGGTCGTCCACAGGTCGCCCCAAACAGACGTGGAAGAACAGATCGGGAGAAAAAGGCAGCGAGAGAGCAGCAGAGGTGGACAAACGACGACCGAGTGGAAAATGACGACTCGCGAAACGTGCTCGGACTGACGACGCGAATATCGAGGATAAGGAGTGGCGAGGATCGAAGCTACAACAAGACGGAGAATATGAAAACTGCCTCAAAGCCAAGAATCAAAGGCAACACAAAGAAAAAATATTCGAAGCTAAAAATAAAAATTATGAAACAAAAAATGGTATAAAGTCTAAAGATAACGTAGAAAGAATAAAAAGAAAACGATAGAAAAGGAAAAATATCCGAAATTAAAATTATAAATCATGAAATATAAAAATTACATAAAGATAACATAGAAAGAAAAAAAAAAGTTCGTAAAATACTTTAAAGACGCAAAATCTTCATGTCGGGTTTAAAATATTTAGATACATATCTGCGACGTAGAGAAACGAGAAATAATTTGTGCACAGCTTCCGTCCCGATCGATAGCGGCGGAAGAACCTTGACGGGTTTACTTTTAAATCGCACGTGCTTGCCGCACGCGAAGGCGTGGAATTTTCCTGCATGTCCGTAAATACATTTCGCTCCGCGGTAGATGACTAATGGTTTCTATTGGAGTTAATGGCTGCCGTTATAGGATGCACAATTTCAGACACCAATTTGAACAGCATCGACAATTTACCGACCGCATCTCGAGCGACTGCTGCTGCACGCGCCGTAAAATACAATGGTTACATTTTTCGCAATCCTAAAGAACGTCGATTTATCCTTTCCTTGTTAACGATCACTATCAATCGCTTTAGTGCATCGATCGCATTCGCAAAATAATGATTTTAGTGGAGTTCCAACGTTGACGGAGAAGCAAAAGGGTGAATCCTCGTGGACGTACCATTTCTCTCCTGAGCACCGCCAGTTGGGTGTCCAGGGTGGTGAGTTGCCTGGCAGGTGGTGACGGCCTCGACGACGACGACGACGACTGCAGCGTCGTTTTACCGCCTCTTTGGGATTTACTGGACGACCTCGTGGGCGGTGGAGGCGGCTCGCCGCTCTCGCCGCGTCCGCCGCTCAGGTTGAAGCCGCTTAAGCTCCTCGGTAACGGGGGTAATCCTTGCAGGGAAGACATCGCGATCCTTTCTTGTATGCTGGAACAAGGACGAGATTCTTATATAATTTACATTTTGCAGAAATGAGATATTCCAGTGATAAAGTTAAAAAGTTGACGTTTAATAGTTACTATAGAAGCTAATTATTAACGGCATATATTTAATTACGTATGAGTTATAAATGCATAATAAATGTATGTCAATAATTAAAATATTGTCCCTAAATAATAGGATGTTTCAATTTTTAAAGCAATGCTTGTTTTCCGGCTGTAGCGACTTGAAAAATAAAAAGAGAAGGACGAGTGGAATTCACAAAGAGGGATACATTTAAAACTTTCACGATACTCCGGGGGAAACTTCTGCGGGTCGGATGGTCTCTCCTGCCTTGGTAAACTGCCAAAGGCAGAGTACGATGGATGGGAGAGCCGCAGGAAACGAGGATACCGTTATACGATCATCTTATGGAATAAAAATTCGATCTGTCTTTATAAGTGTCGGCCGCCAGCGGTCAAGAAGGCGGAAGATTTGGCGAATGACTCACTTTTGCCCCGCGGTTATTATCATCGCGTGTGCACATCGCGGAAGTCTGCAATCGCTCAATCGTTCCTATCGACGTCGATATCCGTTCGATTCGGTTCCGCCGGCTTGCCCGCCTTCTCGTTTTATTTTCCTGCGTGCCGAGATGAGATCGACTCGATACCGAGCATCGACAAGTGCAGTGATACCGATCCGATACGCGAGAGCGATATCGGTTTAGCAATTTATAAAAAGTTGCTGCTGTTAATAAATTCCTCGTCGACTTGTATCGCGAGGAAAGAATGTTTATGCAACCTCTATTTATAATTATCTCTCGAGAATATATTTCTCCGTTTTTTTTAACATTTATTAAATTCTGTAATTTGTATAATTGCATATTTGCATATTTGTATATTTGTATAATTGCATATTTGTATATTTGTGTGCATGTGCGTATAAATGGTGTACGATATCGCAATATCCGAAAGACCAGGCTCGTGGATTTTTCAAGATTTTATGACTTGCAAAATGAGAAAATTAAGAGCGATTTGAGAGCAAAATAAAAAAGGGACTGCGAGCGAGTTTTTTTTAACGTTAGTTACGCCAACGAACGGTTGGTTTTTATGGCCGGTCGACACGGCAGTTATCGCGAGAAAGCTGTACGCTCGTATTGCCAGATCGTTGAATTCGGATCAACGTGCGCGTAACAAAGTGCGACCCTGCGAACTATTGCGACTTCTCGATAATTAATACGTCGTTAACGCCGATGTACAGCAACCTAGCGTTTCGTATGATGTTACGCCGTAAAACGTTTATCTATTATGTATTCGCGCATTTCAGTAACATCCTCATCAAGCACATTATTTTAAGCGTATACTCAAAATAAGAACGTCAAAAACTTGGGAGAAATTACGTTTTTAACACACTCAAAAATTCAAAACGTTATTCAACTAATTGTTTAAATTGAGATGCCGATGCTCTCTGTCTCACAAGTCTTTCGCAATTACTGCAGTTTTATTGCTTTAGATGAGAAAGTGAGAATATTAGAAGTGGATGCAGCGCAAAGAGTGAATTTTTGGAAATTAAGACAGTCCTACAAACAGTAATTGCATATTTATGAGAAAGCATATTTCAACGATAATCCCTTTCTTATTGGTGCAAATTGTTTCAAGACCGATGCAACTACAGTCGCAGCTTTAAGCTTTCAGCGATCTTATAAAAGCCACTTATGAACAATTTATTCAATACATAGAAAACTTTCGAATTATTTGGTGAAATGGAAAAGAGTAATTCATATTATTATTTAGCGTCACAATCCTTTAGATTACAACATCCATAGAAAAGATTGCGAGCAAAGATTTCGACGATATCGCGCTTAATTCCAGTTCTACCTGATGAAATCAAGATCAGTGATTCTTTCCTCCTCGCGATGATCGTAACCGTTGACGCGATTCCTGTCGACGGTGTCGTCGTCGCCGTCGTCTCCGTGCAGAGTGATCTTCGTGGAGGAGTAACGGACCCCCGCCTCCAGCCAGTCCTGCCGATGGATATTGTTGTCGCTGTCGTTGTCGTTGCTGCTGTCCTCGTGGTCGCTGAGCGCGATTTTACGCTCTGGCTCGTCGACGACGAGCAGGGTGACGGGGGCGCGATCGGGAACGCTCGGGACGCTCGTCGATTTCTGGATCGAGGATACGGTTTTGACACCGTCGTTCCCGGCGGGCTTGCCATTCCCCGCGAACGCTTCCTGCTGCTGCTGTTGCTGCTCGACACCAGGACACGATCGGCACGTGGGCGTCGGCCGGGTGTCGTGCCCGTCCGCTCTCTCCGGGTCGCCGTTGCACTTTTCCGCGTGGCTCACCGTGACTTGCCTGCCAGAGGAATCCGGGCTGGAGGACGAGGCACGAAGCTCGTCTTCGAAGGACACGTTGACAGCTCGAACGGCCGGTGACGGCCTCGTCGCCGTCGTCGCTGCCGTTTCGAATTTCTCCGCCGAGGCGACGACGCTGTTCTCCCTTTGCGGGTCCTTGCATCGTTCGCGATGATACGGCAGACCGGCCGGGTCCTTCCCGCGGGAGTTTCTGCGAATCTCCAGTCTGCGTTGCGGCCGTTGATCCTCGGTCAGGCTGTTGCGCTTCCGCACAATGTTCACCGGGACGTTTCCCGTGGAATAAAGCTTCTCCGAACCGGTACCGGCGCCGTGATGTTGATCGTGAGACGAGGTGACTTTGTTTCCGTTCTCCGAACGGCTCTCCTCAACATTCCTGTCTGAATTTCGCGCCTGGTTGCGATCCCGCTGATTTCTGTCGTTGGACGCGCTCTCGTCCTTGCAGTCCTTCGTGCATTCCTTGATGGACTCGTATACGATCGTGCGTCCGGCCGTCGAGTCCACCTGTTGCTGATGTTGTTGCTGCAGCTGCAGTTGCTGCTGATCGGATCTCCAGGGCTTCGTGTTCGGCGGCGGTGGTGCCTGCCTAGTGGGACAGGGCGGCCTTGGCGATCTCTTAAGGGCCTCGGCAACCACCTGCCTGCTCGGCCGAGGTGGCACCGGAGGCGGATGAGGCCTCTGACTGGTTGCCAGCTGCATTCCGCTCGTTTTTCCGACCGTCTAACCGATGCGATCGCTCATCCTCGACGAAGGACAAGCTTATGCGAAGCAAATCTCGATTTTTGAACCGCACACTCCCGACTCGCGCGTCAAAAATATCTACGCTATTGCTTAGGCAGTACTAAATGTCAGCGGTAACGCGAGGTACCTTCACCTCGCGCGTAAAAGACGAAGATTTCCCCGTTCAAATTTCTTCGAAGATAAGAGGCGACGTTTATCGTCCTCCTTATCGCGCGTCTGTCTATTTCAAGCCGACGGAATGTGAGAAACGACGTGAAATGACTCGGCGAGCGAGGCGTTTCGCGAGCTTGGTAAACTTCTCGCGTCAGCAGTGTTTCGTCACTCGAAAAAATTCCTCAGGCATGAATTAATTCGTTGTTTGCGACGGAGTAGCTCGATTTTTATTCTACCGCGACGTATCGTCAGTCGCGAACGAATGTAATGACCGTTTCTCTCCCTAATGGATATCTCTGTGTAAAATCTATTCGCTGCAGGTCGGAGGTAGAGTCTGCGCGACGCACGTGCGTTTCTCGGAATTCTTACTCGCTTAAAACGCACCGCGAACCCCGCACTGCGTTAAATGCCGATCGGAGATGACGGGAAAATGTTGTGCAACGTCGCCACATGATTCCACGGCGGCTGTTGCGCCAGCGAAATCACCGCAATCTCGCCGCGCGCGTATACCCTCGATATTCTGCCGTTTCCTTCTCTTTCGCCTCTTCTCTTTCGTTTCTCCTCTCGACAGTCCACCACACGTCCTCTTTATTCGTTAAGCAGGTCGCGATCGCGCCGATGCCTCGCGATATCGCCGACGAGACTTTGCATACAACTCTGCGGGAGACCACGAAACGTGCGTTCGTTCGCGCTCGCTAAATAACTTCACGAGCGGGGACTTGAATCTCCCAAATCTCCCTTCGTTCGCGATCGTGACGAGTGGGATCCCCCTCCTATTTTGCGCATCATTCCGCGGGGACCACGTAAAATATCCTTCGTCGATTGAAGGCTTCGGGAAGCCAGCACGAGAGCCAGCACCGATTTTCAATACGGAGATCTTCGCGCGCGTTCCGTCCCTTTCTCTACCTCTCTTTTCCCTCGGATTGTCATTGAAGCTGATCTTCGAGATGACGTTACGACCTCGATAGTCGCCTTTCTATCTCGATCGCTCGTGCTTTCCTTCCACGAAGAATGTGCCGAGCAGACCTGGCGAACCTACTGGTTCTTTGTGAACAAACGCGGCAACTTGAATTATTGTATTTCATGAGTAAATTTTCTCTCGCGTATCACAATTTGCAGTAATCATAAAATATTTGACGATTCTATTGAAGCTTGGTACGATATTCTGTCTCCTTTTCCACTTTTTTCCAAAGCGTATCAAAATTCAGTTCAAAAAGTTCGACAATTAAACTTCCTCATCATAATTAAACTTCGTTATTCTTCCGTTATCACAGAGAAGTAGAAAAACATTGTTGAAAAAAAAACTCCACAAACTTATTCATGTATTGTTATTCCGAATGAAGGAAATCCGACATCTTCCTCGATTCGAGCCACTTCATCCTCGCGTCACTTCGACAGTCACTTCCAAGTCTCGCTTGACGTCACATTGCGCGTCTTCCACGTTTCAGTGCACCGAAATGCCGCACGAAACCCGCACTTTCTAACGCACAAACAAATCGGCGATCGCCGATTTCCTTCTGTACTACAATTAAAACACTATATTAATTCCTGCGTCACGACGGAAATCCTCCTTTCGGTCGAACTAGACCCGGTCAAGACTTCTCTCCCGCTGCCCGTGGCTAATGGGAACCAATCGCGGAGAAACACTCGAAAACCTTCGACTCCGGTAAACTACGGCACGAGGGGAACAAGCCGAAACGATCGCGCGCGGCGAATGCCTTCGGACAGGTAGAGCTAGAGCAGCGACGATCCCGAGACCCCAGGCGGTATCCCCGATCCAGTATCTCCTCCTCCGTCCCGACCTCTCCCTCCTTCTCTTCCACCCGATCGCGCCTCTATCCTCTCTTTCTCGACGGACCGACCGCCGCGGACTGACTTTGCGGTCCCACAAACATCCTTCGCGATCGTTGGCCACGTGACTGGCCGAGCTCGAGTTCTCGTCAGGTAGTCAACGAGTGTGCGCCTTGCGCGCGCGCGCGCGTTTGAGCGAGCGAGTGGACGAGTAAAGGAACGAACGTGCGAATGAACGAGAGAGAGAGAGAGAATAAACGAGCGAGTAAGCGTGCCTAGGTGTGTACACGTGTGTGTGTGAAAGGCACAGAAGGGAGCCGGAGATAGAGGCGAATGCAAAGAGGACCTGCGGTTGACGGCGTGATGGTGAAGGTTCACCACCGCGGTCTCGTGCCGATCTCAGCATTGCTGATCACGATGATGTGTGAGTTCTTGGCCCGATAGGAAGAAACACTCGGATTGCTCGTTACGTAAAATCGGCTGATCTCGGGGAGGGAAAAAAGCGGTTGCCGTTCTAAACCTTACGGAAAGTCGCGGTCACACTTTCTAGCGTCGTTAAGACTGAGGTTTCTTCTCGGGGTTGCTGCCTTTCCGTGATATCTTCACGGCGCACGATTCTCACGACCGTCGTCCGGACTAATCCCCCGATCGCTTGAAATGTCGAAAATGAAGGAATAATTAATTTCAAAGGGAGATTTAATTTAGTTAGAGATATATCTGAGATTGTAATCACATTTTATCGTCGTATTATATCGTCGATGGGGAAACATTTTCTCTCAGGACTCGCTCGAATGGATTCAATTATGCGCCGAGACGCGTAATATGCAGCGCGTCCTAATTACATACATGCATTTGCCCGAGATTGTTCAAGTTTATGTAAGCCGATTTCGCCGTGATTTCATAGAGTTACGAGGCTCGCGCTTATATACACTTCACGGTACCCGTCGCATATCGTTTCGTTTCTTTACATCATATACAATATCTGCCGCAGGTGTAGAGCAGTTAATTACCCGCGAATGTGCGGGTATTCATTTCGAAATACGCATTATTCGCATCGACGCGAACGCAACGGCGATCTGCGATAAACGTGAACTTTCTAGAGTTCGCGAGGCATAAAGTGTCTTATCGGTCAATATCGGTTTCCGTGCTTCGGCGGAGCACGAAGAGTCGTTACAAATTCTCACAAAAGAGATAAACGCGAGATAAAGAATGCGCGTAAAAAAAATCGCGGAAGCGCGACAAAAAGATATGGGGACACGAATAAAACTCTTTAACGTAACCGGCATGAATTGAAAGACAGAGAGTCACGAATTTAAAAAATTAGAAATTGCGAGTTAAAAGGACTGAGAGTTACGAATTAAAAAGACTAGGAGTGGCGAATTAAATGGACTGAGAGTCACGAATTAAAAAAAAAACTAGGAACTGTAAATTAAAAAACTGAAAGTCACACGAATTAAGAGGACTAGAAGTCACGAGTTCAAAGAACTAGGAGTTAATTGTGAAACCGAGTCCCTGGAGTCTACCATTTCGGGGTCCGTCTACCTCCAACGTTGGGTGTAGGTGTATACCGCGACCGGTGGTATCGCCGTGGTATCGCGTGAGAGAGTAACCCGTAGCGGATGAGGAGAACGGGGACGGAGGAGGGAAGAGAAAGGAAAGGATTATCGAAGGAAGAGGCGAACGGAGCGAGACGGAGAAAAGGGAAGGGACCCATTAGGTCCCCTCCGTCTCGCTGCCCTCCCGCAATGGCACGGAGGTCCGTTCGCCAGTGCCGTAGCTTGGCGCGACGACATTCTGACTTCCTCCGTTTTCTCTCTTCCTCTCTCCTCCCCTACGTTTCGAAGATTGCGGGAAGAGGATTCCAGGGGAGCGTGATTACTCTTAATTCGCGCAATTCGTCTTAACAAAGCGATCTCTCTCTCCTTTAAGTCTCGTGCCACGCTCGAGTCTATCTTTCGACCCCGACGCGATTTTACGGGATTGTAAAATCGAGTTTTTCAAGTTGATAGGTACTACGAAGATATTTCGTTCGAGGACAAGTCAAGTTTCTAGAATCGCTACTCGCTCGAGACGACGCTCCAGAAGACGGCAGCGTCTTTCGGAAGCATCTTCTGTCGCTGGAGCGAAGCGAGACCGCGGAGATAAGATACCAGCAGCGGTATCCCGCGGACTCTGGCGTGCTCCGCGAAATGAAGTAACGCGCCGATGATACGCGTTATCGGCGGGCGATCGCCGCGCGATATCGCCCGCCCATTCACGGCGCAATTAAGCACGAGGAAGTGGCACGGCCGGCCGGGCTGGGAAAACGCGGGTCTCGGAATTTATTCACACTCTGTTTCGCTCTGGCTCAGGCAAAAACGACTCGTTCCACTTTTGCGGCCGATCTCCCGCCGATAAAATGCAAATCGGCCCCACCGCCTCCCTCCTCCCTCCTCCCCTGTCACCGCGGAGTCCGGTCGGCTCCTAGACCGGTCGAAATCGGATCGTGGTCGTATATCTGCATGTCGCCCGAAGACGTTCCCGTCCGGCGCGGCACGGCGGCCGCTACCGCGCAACGCGGCCGTCAAAACAAAAATTCGATTACTGGGTCACGGGGTTTCGCGTGGTGCGCGATCGAGACGCGGATTTCGAATGCCAATGTCAGGCGCGTGTCTATCTGTGAGCTATATTTGTTAATTCGGCCTCGCACGGGCGGAGAGTTCCATGTATAATGATGTCTTTTACACGTCAACGCGCGTGTTACGTAAGTGTGATACGCAGTCAAGCAGTCCCTCTCTTATAGCATCTCTTCGACCACTTATATATATATCCATTTCTACCAATGTAGTTTAACTTACTCTTTATCTGTTTCTAATTTTCAATACTAGAAAAAGATAACAAGTATGTAACCGTTAAAGTTAATCTAAATTGATAGAAATGGACATTAATGAGTTACATTGATAAATAGTATTTTTTTATAAACGTGATACTTTTAACGATCCTTTTTCTTCAAACTCACGGTACTACATTCGATATTGAGTCGGTACTTGACAGTCACTCTTCAATTGTCAGTGAGTTTGCTGATTCTCACTTTATATACTTTTCTCGGTAATAAACATGACTCGACTGCTATTTTTGTATTCTGTACTTTGACCACGCGCTTGGCCGCGAAAGGAGTAGAGCCCGAGAGCGGCTTTCCATCTTTTCGCAATCATAAATAACACAGCCCTCCCGAGGTGGCCGACGTGTAACGTCAAATTGACTCGCAAAACCAGCCGGGATAAGAGCATCGCGTTGAAAATCACGCGCTCGCTGTGTACGCAACGCCGCGCCGTCGATCCGGCTTTCCTTTACCGTCCCACTCGCGCGCTCCACGTTCTCCATTAAACTCCGCGCGAGTTGGCGAGTTTTCTCGCGCGCGATTATGTCGGCGGAACGCGGGTTCCCGCGATTAAAGCGAGGGGAGAGAGAAAAAAAGAGGAGGCCTATTCCCCGACCTGCGCTCGCAACCGCGTCAGGCTGAGAGAATGGATTATGCCGCGCGGCGACGATTACGTTACGTTCCAGAACACGCGCGAGACACTGACGGCGCGTATCGTCGGATACAACAACTTATTAATAATTCAACGAGCCGACGGCGTCACCCGTAGAAGCGGCCAGATAACAAAGCGAGTGGAGAGAGAGAGAAAGAGAGAGACTGATCCACGGTTGCACGCCGCGCGTTAACCCTTTGAACCGGAAACGTGTTCCCCGTCACGGAGAGCATAAGATTGGAGCGCGAATGCGGTGGTCATGGAACATCCGAATTTTTTGGCTGATGATAAAGATTCGATTGTTAGATTTGATAAACAGCATCACACATCGCATTTGTTGTACACAATTCTTCTCCGAGACACGCGTTCAGGCGCGAATTTTGCGCGCGGAAAAAGATTAATTATAGACGATTACCGCTGAAGTGCGAATTCCCAAATGGAATTCGGAATGAGACAAAGATTTTGGATGATATTCGCAATAGGTTGACGATTCGACTATACGCTCATACACAACGGGTTGCCATGCGGCAGGCGGGCTTAATCGTCGGCACGGCGCGGCGGATGGACGACTCTAGATAAGCTTCTAAATTTAGCAGCACGGCCATCTCCCGCTGGAAAACATATAAGTTGTTCGTATGGGATTTACTTTAATCTTGTTACGCGTATAAATCTTTCATAGCAAATAGCACGCTAGATACGACGAATCGATTCCAGAAACATACGCTGTGAATAGACGAAGATGCCCTAAAGTATATTGCCCATTCGTTTGATTATCCTTTAATTTCGACGGCTTTTCTTTACACGCTCAGACTCGATCGCCCTGAAAATCACGATTTACACGAGTAAGGTTTAGCGAAAGAGATTCGCGTTATACAGACTGTCTCTAGATTGTACAGATTACCTATATAGATTTATATCTCCCAAAAGACACGGCAATGTCTCGCGCCAAGTGTACGGGGGATACAGAAAATGTATCTATACCTCAAGTAGTTGACCGGAGACACGATTGTCATATTTAAAAAACGGTTAAGCGGATGCAATTTCTGAAAGGTCCAATCGATTATACAGCGAGCGACGTCTTCTTCCTATTACGTCCGAGTTTCCTTAGATATAGGGAAATCGTCGCGAGCCGGTAGAGGAAAGACAAAGGTTTCATTGTTACCTGACCACTCGCTGCGTGCTGACACCTGCGGGCCCGTAAGGCAAAGCGGTTGCGGTTACTCCTTAAACTTCCACTCCTGACGGCACATCGGGCACATGTGGTTGGTCTGCTGCGAGTGCAGCCACTTCATGATGCAGTGTATGTGGAAACAATGCGAGCACTGCCCCCACACTGGAACGAGAAATCGAGCGTTTGGTAGAGCGAGTTAAATTAATTTCGTCGGCGTCGGGGGCGAGGGCGACCGGCGCGGACGTCTGTCAGGGCGCACCTGGCTGGGCGGCGGGGGGAGGGGGGAAGGACGGAGGGACGTGCGTGCACGCGTTCGCCGCGCATCGATACCGAGGGTGCCCAGGGCGAGGGTGAGGGACAAGCGGCGCCTGCCTGCCGACCCCGTCGACCGGCACGCGTCGATCGATATCGCGCGCGCCGTCGCGGACGCGACCGTCTCGCCGTGGCGGCATTTTACGAGTCGGGGAATAAAAGAAATCCATTCTTCCTTCGACCCTAAGAGCACATGTAATATGTAGATTCTGAGAATCGCAAAAGCATAAGATATTATGGGAGCAGATACCCCCCATAAAGCACACTTGTCCAAAAGACGTCTTACGTCCCGAATTTGGACATGGTGCTATCTGGGCCAGTATATTAGGTATCGCTAAGGATTTTTACTCGATCCGACTGGCTGTATTTATTAATTATAAATTATAATCGTCACGTTTCGACCATTGGTTTATCCAAGTCATAAAATCAGTAGTGTTTAACGAACATCTCAGTCATGACATTGCTCCGAAACAAGTCACAAATCTAGAAACTAAATCCTTAGTGTTTTTTATTTACTGGTGAAGGACAAAGTTTCTGATTTGTTTATGTTAGGTATATTCTTAATACATTCTATATAGAAGTATTTCGAATAATATCATATGCTCTTAGGGGATATTCTATTTATGTGGAATGTAATTGAACGGACAAATAAAAAATGTATATTAAAACGTATGCGTACGTTAAAATACAGTTGCAAATAAAAACGCATAGGACAGATGCGAGTTATACATCGTATAAAATGAATTCAAGAAAGACTTGGACCAAGTTCTGATTAACTTACAATTAATTAGTGATTAATTCAATCGGCAGAACTTTTGCAAAATTAAAGCAAAATTTTCAACTGCATTGTCGCCTCTAATTTTCAAGTTTTTTTCTCTTACAATTAGTTTTTTTCTTAAAAATTCTCGTTTTAAAGGAAATATGAAAATATTCGACAGCAGTACAAAAGATATAAACGTGTTTCTACTTGAAGAAACGTCGTGAAACGAGAGAAATCATTTTCAATACTTTCGGAGTAAATATTTTTTTCTTTTTCTTTTTTTTTTAACAGATAATTTAACACGCGTCAAGAAAACGAGAAATATCAAGAGACAACGTTTCACTTGGAATATCGCAGAGAAAGAATACGCATCACGAATACCTAGCGGACAGTCGTCTCCGGGGATCTTGCAATCCGGGCAGCTGGCGTCGAACGGCATCCTGCATATGCCGCAGTTATCGTCGTTCGCGATCCACCGCCAGGTGGCGACGCCTGTCCAGCCTGAAAAGAGAAACGTGCCTTCGTGGATGTCGTCGATCTACGTGCGAGCGCTGTCACGGCCGAGGAAAATGTTACGATCTATGTTTACGCCGTGACATAACCACGAAACTAAGGAATTTTGATACGCGACGCGTCAATCGCGCGGAAAAACAAAACGAGCGGCAGGGAAAATTTCGATGCCGCTGGAGATACTTACTTTTTATCGTTACCTTCATCTCGATGTCGAGGTTAATATCCTTATTTCCGATAAACGTGACGTGACGAGACGCGACGCGACCCGAGTGACACTTGACTGACTTCTCTGCAAATTCTCCGAAATCGTGGCTTCGGCGAGAATATATTCGGAAGAAACGCGAGCTTCTCTATATCGCGATAAAACGACAGACTGACCACGACGGCACGACCGACAGAACAACACGAAGCGATCAATGGGGCTGCGCCATCTTAAGATTTTCAAATCGCGATTCGACCGTGCGACGAATTCGATTCTCGAACAGGGCTCACTTCGAGACAATCGCGATCGGCGATTCGCGTCGGCCGTCGGCTGCAGGCTGCAGAATAGGATTCTATTTATAATTTTAATTTTATGCATTGCATAATACGAAATACGTTTTAAGAAATGCACACATATTTAAAATATGCGTTGAAAATGCAAGCGTATATATCGAAAGACGCGCAGCACATGAAATTATAAATGGAATTCTGTATCTTGAAATTTGACGCGAATGCAATGGATCACCTGAAGTGGGCTGTAACAATAATTAATGAATATATAAAGAACTATTGTTCAATTTGTAAGTGAACTTTGCTTGATGTATGATATTTATTCGAAGATAATTATTTAAAAAAATATAAATATAGATGTATAATGAATATACATACATACATACATACATATATATATATATATATATATATATATATATATATATATATTAGAAGTGAAAATATAAGACTTCTTGAAATCTATTATTTCGAAATGCATTCTATCTTCCATATTTGATCAATAAAATATTATATTTAAACAATATTACATCTAAGAAATATTAAAACGACACGAGGTACGTTATATTAAACAATTTATATACTTGCAACTAAATATATATCAGTTTCATCTTTCAAATGCAAACAATTCTGTCTTTATTCTTTATCCGTTGCGACGGGAAGCGACAAGCGGGATATTTTCTGCAATGTCAGGAACCAGAAATCCTATTAGTTCATCGCTTCCGCTTGATACAGAAATGATTTTTAGATTTATTCACTCGCTTTCAATATCGTTTCAGAGTGCAAAAACAACATTCGTCGTCCTGTCGTTACGGTGGGAAATAATTGGCGTGACGGCATCCGCGCGTTATACGCGGAACGCGCTAATCAATCTCTCTTTCGCCCCCTCCCATCGTGTATCTATTATTTCCGAAAAAGCGGGAGGTTGATTGGCCCGCGCGGCACATACGCATATATTTTCCGCGTCTATTGCGCGTCGAAAATCACACATCGCGCCCAAGTATACGAAAGCACGGCCGTGTGTCGGCGCGGATTCTATCCGTTGGCTGTGGCGCGGCGCGACGGTCGAATAGAAACGCCGCTCTTATAGCGATGCCAGGATACGCCAGCCGTGCCGGAACGAGAGACGCGGCTCGTCCGAATAATCGGATGGTGAGGATACGTACACAAAGAGAAGGCGCACATCAGAAAATGTACAACGTGCGCGCTCGGGAGCTTCGGCGAGTAGACGAGGACTCTGCGTCTCTCTCTTTCTCTCGCGCCGTATTCTCGCTGTCCGCCCGAGATAGCCGGTGCGAGGATTTATACGTCGATTTACGCTTTATTATGCGCGCAATGTTTGTAATAATAACAATATTTATATCTTTGATCGGGAAATAATAAAAAGTTGATATGAAAAAAATTCTTATCCAGAAACAATGTATATACCTATATTCCTCCTCCTATTAACGTATTTTTATTTAAATACAATCTTACTCTTAATGTAATTAAATAAAGTAAAAAGAATAAAATTAATATTGATTTCCTAAACACTTGAAAACTCTCTTTCAAGACTTTTGATTTTTGGGATCTAAAAATCTCAAATTCTCTTCGAAACATGGAAAATTCTTAGAAGTATAAAAAATTCCTGAAAATGAAATTCTTGAAAATGTGAAAAATTCTTAATTTTTCTTACTGTTTGTATACTTTATACACATACATACATATTGCTATATCCAAACTATATTCTTTATAGCGTTTTCGACTGGGCCGGGTCGAACACCTCCTAGGGCGATTCAACCTGATGTTGTTCAATTCGGCCCAGTCGAAAACGCTATTATTCAAATTACAGACATCTAAAAATGTCCTTAAATAAGACATGTCGGAAACATCTTAAACGAAGTCATTGGATTCTAAATGGTCGAGCCGGCTAGCTCGGCGAGCAGCGAGGAATACAGCACGAGAGACTAAGGAGACTGGTACCGTGTCGAAGCCAGAGCCGAAGCCCGAAGCTTCGAGATCACACGTTGTGCGCGGTGGACGCGCCTCCTCTTTGTGTGCGTGTCCTCACCACCACCCGATTTTCGGGTGAGCCGCGCTCTCGTCCTGGCATTATTACCGAATCACCGTACGCACTCCCGTCCCGAGGCTCCCGAGCCCGAGCGGAGAAGCGTGGCGGCGCTGGACGGCCACGGCACGACGGCACGGGACACGGGACGGTGTATCGGTAGTACGGGTCGGCACGGCACCGTGCAGCGCGTCCCGCGTCCGCCAGCACTAGACCAGCAGCGAGAGCGGGCGGTGGACTGTCGAGAGCGTGGTGGCAGGAGGCGACGAGGTGGTGAGGTGAGGCGGCGGAGAAGGAGAGCGGTCGCTGGCGCGGCTCACACGTCCGTGCGCCCCGTGCGGTGATATGCGAGAGGAGAGCCGCGCAACGCCGGGTAAACGTTCACTGGCCGGAGCGGAGTAACGCCGCGCGCGTTTTCGCCGGACGGAGTCGGCGGGCCCCGACGTGGCCGCCCGTCGCGCGAGTTTCTGTCAGAAGTCGTGCCCCGAAACGCCCGGCGGCTATGACGGGTCTGACACGGGCGTCGTAGATCGGCCGTCGCCGCCGTCGCCGTCAACGGAGTCGTTGCGCGCGTATACGCGCGCGGTGTCTCCGACCTTCCAAGTTCGGCCGGGGGCCCCCCGCCCGCCCCCCCGTACGACATGGCGGGCTTTCGTGACAGGGACAGGGCCCTGTTCCCGATCCGGAGCATCTCCGCGATCGTGCAGATCTTCAAGAATCAGCTGGAGAACAGCGCCGAGCCGGACCTCGCGCTGCTCTCGATCCTCGTCGGCGCCGTCGAGAACTCCCTGACGTGCAACCGCGTCTTCACCCCCCAGGAGAACGCCGTCTACGACGAGCCCAAGCTGCCGCCCGTCGAGTACCACATCGCCGAGGCGCTCTACACCAAGTTTCACGCGGTAATCAAGGGCGCCGTCGATCTCACCGTCTACGACACCAAGTACGCCACCCGGGAGCTCGTCAAGAAGGTGTCGGACGTGATATGGAACTCCCTCACCAGGAGCTACTACAAGGACCGGGCGCATCTGCAGAGCCTGTACAGTTACCTGACGGCGAACAAGCTCGACTGTTACGGAGTGGCCTTCGCCGTGGTGGCCGGCTGCCAGGTTCTAGGGTTCAAGGACGTGCATCTCGCCATGTCGGAGGACCACGCGTGGGTCGTGTACGGGGAGGATGGTACGGAGACCGCGGAGGTTACATGGCATGGTATGTGGTTGCTGATCTTGGACTTCCGACCGTTGAAGATTGAAAGATCGCAATTTAATGAGATGTCCAGGACGGATTTTTTTACAGTATGCTTTACATTTTTCCTCTGGAGGCTGTTGGATTGGAGTAATCTTGAATTTGCTTGTTTTTGAAATTTGTTTCTTTGTTATTAAGATAATAATGTCTCCGTGTAAAATTCTTTCATGTATGTAGAATGACAGAATTGAATCCCGATCTTTTTCTTGACTTGATCATTAAGATCCTACACTTGCGACTTTAAAAATCAAGGGTCAGAAGGGTCATAATTGCAATTTATTACCAGGTAAGGGAAACGAGGATAAACGCGGGCAACCGGTGGAGCCTGGGGTAGCGTCTCGATCGTGGTTGTATTTAAACGGCCAAGCGATGGTGTGCACTCGTGCTCTGGAAGTGGCTACCATAGTGTCCGCTATAAATCCTAGTCTGAATGGGACTACCGACGCGGCCGAGGTAGCGTTGCTCCAGCAGGAGTTGCTGTGGCTGCTGTATGACTTGGGCCATCTAGCAAAGTATCCTATGGCGCTTGGTAACCTGGCCGAGTTGGAAGAGGCTGCGCCTACACCTGGGAGACCACCGCCTATAGACCTTTTTCAGGTTTGTGATTCTAACTAAAGTATCAAACAACAATGCTGTTCATCTGCACATGCGTATACGTGTTATATACTGAACGTAATATTTTTGTAGGAAGCCGTAAGATCGGCAAGGAAATACTATGGAAACGCGCACGTCTATCCCTACACTTATCAAGGTGGATATCTGTACCGGCATGGATTACACGTCAACGCGTTTGCGTCGTGGGCCGACGCCGCGGATGTTTTGCGGAAGTAAGTATCTGACGCATAATTTTTCTCTGTAATCTTTTTTTGCACGCACTTAATGCGTTCGCTGAAACTGCGTACCTTTGAACAACGGTGAATATGTTAAACGCTTCATTGATATGCGGTTTGTTAGCGGTGAGTAATAGAGTTCTATGCGCGACAGATACGATTATTCGCGGGACGACGGGGAAATATACAAGGAATTGCTGGAGATCGCCAACGAATTGATACCGCACGCGGTACGCGTGGACGAGCGCTTATTACGGCAGCCACGTTCCTTCGCGTACCTGCTGAGATTTTACGATGGTATTTGTCAATGGGAGGAGGGCGCCAACACTCCCGTGCTGCACATAGGTTGGGCCCGTCCGCTGGTGGGCACGATCTCCAAGTTCGACGCCAGTATACGCGCCCAGGTCGTCATAGAGTGCTACGAAACGGAGGCCAAGCAGAAGGAGGAAACGGCGCACAAGAGGGAGACGAGTCCCGAGGAGACCCTGAACAACAACAACAACAATTACTGTAAGACCAAGGAGAGAGGAAACGCGGCGCGAGATTTGATCAAGAGCCTAGAATCCAAAGTGCCCTCCAATTCGGCGTCGACACATCCCAGTATTCAAGCACTGACGGCGGCCTGCAGCGAGAAGATACTTAATAGAGATTACCTGCTACAGGGCGGCGGCGAGCCGTTCGTCGCGCCGTCGGACGACGCTCTACCACCGGCGCCCTCCACTTCCAAGGAGAACGTCGAGCCTGAAGTAGTGACTGACTCCGAGAACGAGAGGCCGAGGATAACGTTGTACAGTCAGAAGATGAAGGGCCTCAAGGATCTGCTGCTCGCGGAGAAGCTCAACACCCACGCGATATCGCTGCAGCTCACGGCGCAGAGCCAGGTACAAATCGGTAAGAAGTCGCGCGGCGGCGACGACGTGGGTGTCAGTCAGCGTCCCAAGAGGACGCGTCGGGAATAGTATAAGATCCTCGACCGACGTTTCGGTATAGTAAAGTATTGAAAGTGCCACCACACACACTTCTCGAGAGATTAAAACTCTCCGCTCGTGCTCGCCGAGCGGAGGATACGAGACGCGAAACGGCCAAGCTTATTCGGCGCGGCCTTGCGCAAACCAAGTCATTAAGGTATACCGACCTCCTCGCTCTCGGTGTCTGGGTGTCTCCCGCGCCGGGGCGCGGATTCTCCTCGGTTAGACTCCTCCGGAATCTCGACTCGAGAGCGTCGTGATGAATTTCGTGCCGTTTGATTTGAATGAAGCCCTCCACGGTGCTCCTCTCGTTTTGCAACGATGCCGCGAGTTCTTGCGAGACAACGTTTACGTTACCGTCGGGGATATATCGCCGTTAGTACATATATAGAGTATAAAGTAGGTAATGGAGAGAAAATTTGTAGAAAAGTACAAAAAAGTTTTCCCCCAACTTTTTAAGTTAATAGACGGATAATCGCGAGTCGCTCTCCCGTTGTCTCGCTGAGATCGTCAAACTCGTGACTCGAGTATTTTTGTCTGTAAATATATCTCTCTTGATTCTTCCACAGTGCGTATATGGAGCTGTGACTTGCGGTATAAGAGGGGGCGGAAAGAGTGGAAAAAGAATCGAATATTGTACCTAAATCTGTCTCCGCGGGTAGACCGATCTTTTTTGGAGCACAGTTATTTATTCTACGAATTATACAATTTGCCGATGATAATCGCCGACGGGCACGCTCGTCGGCGACCGTCACTTTGTCATACGTATATAATCTCTTGTTGCACTCTTATTTATTGATTCACGTTTTTTCTATTTGAGCTATTGCACTATTGATAATTACGATTGACAAGTTGCCGTTAATGTTTTTTACACTTGGTAGTTGAACTTCTGTTAGAATTACGCTTCTACGATCTAGTAAGGGAAAACACATTCCACTCCGCATGTGGTGCAAATTAATTAAGTTCTTACCTTAAGGTATTTTAAGCATCAAATTCTCGCTTATTTTTATAACTATTTATTTTCGGAATAATTAATTAATTTTAAGTATCTGTATTTGTAAGACTTTTCTATTTTACTGTTTGTCGAATAGGAGCGTTAGACAGTTCGTCATCCTGATCTTTGAATCTGAACCATCTGAGTGCGAAAGATGATATCGCGTTTTTAGTATTGTTGTCGCAAATCGCGTGTCGTTTGATCCATCGGTCGTGCGTAATCTCTCTTCCGTTTTTAATATAAGAAAACGCGTTTGCTTGTCCGGTGATGAGACCTGTGAACTGTCCGTGGCGCTCTCATTCGCGCGCTCTAGAGATTCGTACTCGTTATGTCTCTCATTCTTTTTAATCCGTCGTGAAAAGAACAGAATGGCGACCCTTACGATCGCACTTCGCGTTGTGACTACGATCATGTTCAGTTAATCGTCGACCCACGCGCAGAACCGATAGTCACGCTTCTTCGGCTATTAATCGCCTTCAATCAGACGCGGCTCTACGATTAAACCTATGATTTTTTTTTTTAAATTAATATTCTCTCTCTCCCGACTTTCGCAGGTGATCAATACCCGTCACCTGCGTCCGTAGTACGTAAAACTCGCTGCATTCGCATGCCGGACGCGGCCGGGATTCTTTGACGATGTTTAAAGCGGATTGTTGTAGAGTATGTTGTTGACAGGAATGAAAATATAATGTCCGAGCTGATCGACGATAACTTAATAATGAAGGGCGCTATCTTACTGTGATGCTGAATATATATATACTATATTATATTATATTATATATATAAAACAAAGTATATATATATAAATATAATTATACGATTTAATAACCGTAGTTGATAATGAGCGACGCGATACGATTCCGCGAACGCCGTGTCGCGATTTATAAAACTAATTAAACGACCGTAGTATTAACTTTAATCAAGGAACATGGAATACCGATATCGCAATGACAGTCCGTCGCTTGTGGCGCGCGCGTACCAAAATTCACACACAAGATTCTTCTGCGGAAAGAACAATGTTGTATACATCGACGATCGTCTTCGTTGAATTTTTGTTACCGCCTCTCTCTTTCTTTCTTTTTGTATGAATTTTGGTATTCTGCTGTTAGCATTGTCTTCTTTCGATGTGTACCGTCACTCATCGAGGCCGAGTTTCACCGGCAGTCTGATTCGCCTAAATCCGAGCAGCGATTTCTTAAAGAAAAAAAAATGGATCCGTGATACAAAAATCCCCCGTTACTCAGATCTAATTAAATACATAATTATTGATAATACATTACATAATTGTGAAATAAATTACATAGTTATAAAATAAATTGATAGTCGCCCGCTTAAAAATATTTGCAAGCGGCAGCTCTTGACAGAGACTTCTTAAAACAATCATCTTTCTGATCATGAAATATATAGTCCCATGTACATATGTACCTTTTGTAATATATTCTATATTAATCATGTATAATCTACATATACATATATAATCGTTGCTCCGAATTAGCCGCAACCGACTGACTTTGGTGCGACCGGCATTTTGGAAAAGAGGAGAACGAAGATTGCGCGCGTTAACGACTCTCCAGAAACGAACGCTTCGTCCAGAGACAAGACGAGCCTCTGAGATCTCGCAGATCGCAATCGCGATCAAACCTTCTTTCTTTTGTCATACACACCTCCGTATACACACACCTCCTGTTCAGTATTCTTTCCTCGTCCACGATAACGGAGCGTTAAAGACTACAGGGATTATAATGTGCATAATGGTAGGGCATAGTAGGTGAAGATATGGTGCATCAGAACAGTATTTTTGTATTTTAAACGGAGGACGCGCCCTCCGGTCGACGATATTATCGGTGATGTTTGCGAGCGTAGGAAAACAGAATGTAACAATCGCCGGGACGACGGCGTTAATTGGCGGACTTATCGTGAAGCATTATACCCTTTTCCGGTTTCTTTCGCCCGAGATATTCCGGGATATGTGCGATCGTCAATCACGTGAACCGTGATTTGCCATCTTGCGTGCGGGTGAGACGAACGACGACTTTGAGAAACTTTCGAAAAAAATGACGATGACGAGAAGGGAGAGATAAGATCGTCACGCGAGATTCGTCGCTTCTTTGCCAGTCACGTCTTCTCACCTTTGTTCGCAAACGATTGTTCGGAATTGCGATTCTTGCGCACAGGGTGTCCTCGCCCTCATCCCGAGTTTCGACGTCGAGATTGTTATTTTTCGAGTTTAAGACGGATCTTATTAGCGAAATTGATGAGGCACACGACCTTTGAGGAATCTCTAGTGAAACAATTTCTTATATTTTCTCAGGAATTTTCTAAGAATTTTTCATATTTTAGATTTATAAACAATTCTGAAAAAATTCTGAAAAAATATGTAAAAATCTGAAATATTTTATTATTCAAAATTCTCTTTCATTCTGAGAGTCTTAAAATTTTCATAGAAATTCTGAATAATAATATGACAAATTCTGAGACATTTTTCCACTAGGGATAATTTTTAGATTTGTCTGCAATCAATCAGGCAATTTAGGCAACTTCCTCACGAGTATAATTTTTACTATGTTGCGCTTCCTACAAAATCGCCGCAAAGAAAATATACATCTCCAATTTGTCGAGATAATGTCTTGTCGTTAAAGCTTGACTCGGGATGAAGGCGGGATACCTCGTAGAATGTGAAAAACTGTACACGATAGATGGTAGATTAATCTCCGTCTTTTTTATCCGTGCCCTTCTCACTTCCAACTCCGTATTTTACCGTAGGTAGAAAATAGTACTCGCCATAAACTCTTTTCTTTTTTTTCTTTTTTTAAAAATGCGACCACTCGAAGTTGCCTCGCTTTTTATTGTGAAAGAAGGTCGGGATGGAACGATCGACTCGTCTGTAGAATTATTTTATTCGTCATTCTATTACGTCAGAGCATATTTTAACACATTATACAATATTTGGTATCAGCCAGTGAGAATTTGTATCGCCAGGAAGGAATATTTTATTATAAGATACGATCACATTATATTTTGTTACGTACAGCTGAATAAGTAGCGCAAATCAACAAATCATCAATAAAATAAACCAACTGCGAATATATAAAATTTTGTATTAAAAAAATATGCTCTGCGTATTTATTTGTCCGATTTTCTTAATAAACGTTCGACGCGTATTTCCTCGGTTTTCCGAACGATTTTATCTACGATTTTATAGCCACGATCTGGATTGTACCTCGAAGTTCTCTGAACGCAAAGACCGCTAACTGTCGATCGAATCCATCCGGTATATTTATTTATCTTTGTGTGCCATAAAGCCCGCTTGCTGAACGTGCATGATTCATGCTGCATAACTGCGACGACACGTGCCAGCCTTGCCGTTGGTTTCCTTTATGAATGCTTTATAGGATCGATCAATCCTTTCGTTATGCGCAACTCATTCCGCTTGTTTTCCGTCGTTTCCTTGACACTGGCGCACACTCACACCGAGCCTCTGATGCGAAACGAAATCTCAAATGCGAGTATATAGTTTAACTTACACGATTAAGAGCCCTATTGTTCGCGTTGCTTTCCGTAGGATTGGCACGTCGGGCTCGTGACACGACATGACGAAGCTTCCGAGACGGTATAAATATCCAAAGGATGTTGCAAAAGACGCTCCAGATTGTAAATCGTCTTCTGAACGTCCCTCGGATTTTGCACTGTCGTTCCTACACGGCTTCAACCGGCAAGAGAACACAATTGGAAATCTCAAAGACTCGCGTTCCTGTCGGGAACGTCTCGTCTGCTCGACTCGTCGTGCTTTCTTAATTTCCATGACAGACGGACGATATGCGATATACTTCGCCGGTTAAAGAGCTCTTGCAACGAATTGAATTCCCCATTACGAAATCTGAACTCCTGTGCAAACGTGTTTTATCAAAATAGCTCTTTGAATATCTACTATTGCGTGCGACTCCTTTTCCCGATCGTTGCACGTCAATCATCTTTTGCGCGTCTGTGAGACGCGCTTTGAGATTTATTCGAACGATAAAACTCATCCAGAGCTTCGTAATGGGGAGATGTATTTCCACGTGAGGGCGTGTTAATTAGAGGTATATAGGAAAAAAAAACGCTACACTAGAGTAAAACTAAGTCCGAGTGTTTAAACATCTCTACGAGTAATTACACTTGCTATAAGCATAACTTCTCATGTACTTAAGCGAACGAAAAAAAAAACCGAAGAGGAGCCTCGGTGACGTAAGCGTTACACGCAGAGCTGCGTGAAATATTACTTCACAGTGTTTCGATTATAAGGCAGATCAAATATTCTCTCGCATAATCACTTTCCTCTCAGAAAGCGCAGTAATCGGGGGCGTTCCCTCGGAACGCCGATATACATAGATCTAGAGATTAGAAACGAGCTAATTATCGATACAACACACATTTAACGCATTAAATAATAGACAGTGAGACATGGAGAAAATGGACCGTGACGCTCGCAAGGATGGAGTAATATTTTGCTTGTCTCTGATTACACCTGATAACGATAAATCGCGTCGAGATCGACGGCCCGGATGCGACGGGCGGTCGTGAACACGAGGAGAGAGAAGAACGAGGGAAGACGGAGAACATCCCGCGCTATTCTTCCGCCAATGCGATTAGAAGGATAGGCGTATCGCGACACTACGACAGCAACAGCCAGTAGCGAGCCGCCGGAATCGCGATATCGCGCGGCAGTAGAAAAAAAAGCCGTAGGTCCTTCTTGTCTTAGGATACAAAACGCATAATCCGATCCCTCGTGAGTCGGCTGGATTCTGACTATTATGTCCGGCGTATCGAGTATTAAGGGACTGTCGCTGATGCCGGTATCGCGACACGGCGGCGTGCGAGCGTTTTTCGCGTGGTCTCGAACCGAAGGGAGTGTAATCGCAGCTAATTGTTAAACTGACAGAACAGTGAGACAGACAGATCTTAAGGCATCATGGAAATGTCTTGTTTTTTTCTGTGGATTACAATAAACTATTTTATTCTAACCGGTGGTAACGGTTCAATCGATCCCTGTCGTCCTATCCACTCCTTACGCGTGTACTATACTTCCGTGTTACGTAAAGAAACTGCTTTTAGAACGCTGAAAATATACTCTACGCTTGGTCCTTTCAGGAATGAGGATATCGTTAAAGTACACATTTCT